ATGATTAACGTGATATGTGAGCACGTGTCAACAAGAGACGAGTGCTTAGAATGCAAAGATTTAATAAGAGACTATTGTGTGTGCAAGTGCCTAATAGGTGTTCTCAAAGCTATTGGGGAGACAAGGAAAAAGAAGTTTTTCTTAGGCCATATTAGTAGGTACCTCTTATTGGGCATACAATGATGTTGATGTGATAATGTGGGTAACTTAGGTTGACTGATAGGCTCGGGTTGAGGCCAACACATTTTTAAATGGCTGGAAAGTTGGTCCAGAGTTTGGTGACTTGGTTGTTAAGGAGTCAAACAAGAGAAATGTTAGCTAATAAAGAGTAGGAAAGAGTTGAGTGTCTGGAACTGAGTGGATGAAGGCGAGCCTTAGAGTTGGAATCAAATGGATCAAGGTAGTTTAGTAGGGCCGCAAATATGATATTGAATCAAACAACCCCAAACTTCCTAGGAAGCAAGTTTCAGTTGAACATAAGGCACTTAGGAGTCGACATATCTAAGCTTTGTCATAATGTCGGATTGAAGGTTAAGATTGAGTATGATAAATGAGGTGTTATCATTTTCTTATCTATTCAAACTCTGTAAATAGATGTTTGGAACGTATAACATGCATTTATCAATTCTTTAATCGCCCATTTCTTTACATCATATATGCATATTCCTTAGCTTTGTGCAACTAATTCCTATAGGCAAAGAATACAAGGATATGATTGGTATTCCTTGACCTTGAGAAGCAGCTAGTAGATTAAGTGGAGCTATCCTAGGAGATTACTTCTCGATACTAGAATGCCACTAAATAGGACGCATTGGACAAAAAGGATTCATGTAGCTGACCCCACGTAGTGGGATTAAGGCTTTGTTGTTGTTGTTGTTGTTTTTGTTGTACTAAAATGAGAGCTAATATCAAAACAATTTGTTCCTTGATAAGGAAGATTTCAACTTCCCATTGCGCTTACTGGAGAGGAAGCTTCTAGTGAGTCTTGAAGTCTTCCAAACTTTTATGCATAATGAATGCTTGCATAACAAGGAAGAATTGGAGTGATCTTCTATGAAGTCTGTTCTTTTTATAGTTCAAGTAGGCATGTTCAACTGTCCATTTTGTATAAGGAAAAAAGAATTTATATTTTTAAGAGATGAAATAACTTTTTTCTATAACTAATGTCATGTTAGTTGTTGCATTTATTGTCATTTTTTGTTCAGTGAATGCACTATGAGTAGACCTTTAGTGAGACATGTTACTAAGCCAACAAGGACCAACTTGATTGAATGCGTTGGTATCAAATCTTAGAATAGTGAGGGTAAGTTTGGTCTGGTATTAATTGGATTAGTGTAATCATTATGAGACACTTAAAAAGAGGTGCCCCCATTTTCATAGTTTTAGAAAATTTTGGCATGCTCTATAATGGAATTGATGTTATAGCTTGTGTGTATAGGCTATCGCCTTAGAATGGAGCCATATAGAACATTTAGTAACCATGGCGAACCTCATCTAAACATTAAAGTTGCCTAATAAGGTTCTTGGAAAAAAAAGGTTGACCTTCATCTTGCAAGGGGTCTTTAGGAAACCGACATAACCTTGAATCACCTTAGTTTAAAACTTCTATATATAAAGGGTTTGGCCAGGAAGTTTCTCCACCTCTAATTAGCCTCACAAGGGACCTTTATGAAATTTGTGTATTATTGTCTTCCCTTATTATTTTTTTGGGTACGCACAATGCATCACAAAAAAGCCTGTAAGTTTTGATAATAAATTTATTTAAAACTTTATTAAACTTGATGGGGCATGACTCACCAACCTAGCATATTTGAGTGGCAAGGCTACTAGAGTTATAAAAAGAGATGCAAAAAAGAGTTTGGTTAGCTATCTAATATTGCTTGGATTGTTTGTGATGTGCTGAAAAGGAAGGGCTAGTTCAGATAGCATGCTTCAATGGAAGTCACTCTGGGTGAATTTGGTTGGCCGAGATGTTTTTGGTTGGATTGGTCAATCCTCCTTAGCATTGGCGCATTAAATCAAGCCAAGTATTAATAAGAAAGTTGCACTTTGATGTTGACCTCTACCTTAGGTCAACATGATAGTAATGATGAGATAGCTGAAATTAGAGATAAGCTTAACTAGGAGGACATTAAGAACAATGTATTGAAGCTTGTATTTAATGATTGATCCTCTTAGAGATCTCACGGCAATGAGGTTAGTCGATTTGCTATTATTATCAAATATTTGGGTCGACAGGGGTGAAGTCTTTCGGCATCTATATGATCCTTTATGTTAGTTTTACTTGATAGTCTCAATGAGAAAATCAAATGAGTGTGAATGATAGTGCCTTCTAGAGAGTTCGATGGATAATGCATGGAAGAGAATATTTTTGGGAGAAGTAATGTAGAAATAATTTTCTAGTTGACTTCCTTTCGAGGGAGTGACAGTTAGAGAGAATCTGCATAACATTTAACACATGATTTCAATGGTTTTACGTTCTAACTTGGAAAAGAATACAATAGAGTGAGGTTGAGATTGATCACATGATCAACGAAGTATTAAATATCTCTATGCAAATACAACAATAATCTTCTTAAATTTGACTATTTATTTGAAAATTTTGATGTGATGATTCTTCTGGTTGATGTGACAGTGAGCACTTATTGGCATGACTTTGTGGAAAACACTTGTCGAGCGGATTGCTCATTGTCATGTTTCAAAATCTTATAGTTTAGAAAGGCCAATGATAGGAAAGATATGTTTACTAGAGACTAGGGGCTCAAAGTATGGAGTACACTATTGAGTTGTGCTATCAATAGGTGTCAACTGTTAGTCTTGTAAGTCGATAGGACTATGAGAGAACGATGTATGATAAGTGATAGACTGGTGCCACCAAATACCATTTTGAGACAAAAGAAGTATTGGGAAATTAGCATCAAGTTGTGTCTAAGATTTTCATGTGCTGTTATTGATATGATATGATATGGGCTCAAGTTGACTCGCTGGCTCAATTTGAAGCCAACCCACTTGCGAAAACTATAGTCTTGTGGATGGAAATCAAGTTGACAAAGTGAGCTAGTTATAATAGGGAGCTAAATAGCAGACAAGCTGGCTATAAGTATGGTTGTGAATTTAGCTCAAGGATCGTTAATCGCTCGAAAATTGATTCTAATTTTGGCTCGGATCGAAATAAACAAGTCAAGCTATTTTTGGAGCCGATTCTACTCAAAATTAGATTTTTAACAGTTTTACTAATGTTAGGGCTTTGAATTTAGCAAATCTAGCTCAAAGATCATTAATCGCTTGAAAATTGATTCTATTTTTGGCTCGGATCAAGCTGAGCTATGAGCCAAAATTTTGGATCAAAATTTTTTTGAGCCAATTTTGAGCTAACCTGAGCTCGGCTCAAAATCGGATCATTAACTACCCTAGTTATATGGGAGCTAGGAAATATTGAGCAAGAGCCTTGCATCCAGGTTAGGTTGATTGGTTGGAGCCATGTGAATGAAGGCCGGCGGTAGGCTGACGAGTTGGAATAAGGCGCCCAATCGAAACCAACATTCCTCAATGCCAATTGAGAAGCAACATCCAACCAAAAAATTTGGCTGACGTGACTTCACTTTATTGTCATAGCATGTCAATGGTCAAGATTAAATATGAAAGTAAGATGTCTTAGTCTTGTTTTCCTAACAAGGGAATAGTTTTAATGCTCTCAATATCCAAAGTTAAGTGTAAAGCTCATGTAGTGTTCTTGTTAATTTGTTTCTTAATTTATAATATAAATTTTAATTAAAATAGATGATGATGCATAATAATCAAACTTATCATAACTCTTCTGATTATAATTCTAAAATTGAAAATGCAGTTGATCCTTATATTAGTAATGAAACTGTTATCTTTTAAGTTTATATTTATATTTGTCCAGCTTGAAGACAGCACCACTTAATAATATTGAGCATTTTTTATTAATTTTATTTGTACAGTTTATAACTTCTTGGGATTAAAAAAAAAACTATAATTTTCAATAAAATCTTATTAATATCAATCTATTTTGAGAACTGTGTAAGATTGTTTCCCTGATCAAATACGTGATCATAATTCTAAGACCCATGACAATCATGTTGCTTAGAACCATGGTTTACATATTACGTTTAAATTGCATCTGATTGATATAGTTATAATGCCTTGTTTCTAATTAGCATAATGATGCAATCTTAAATGCTAACACCAAATATGCTGCGTATGCATTGGATTTTCTATTGCGACTTTATGATATAATGCATCGATATGATGGACTTGGAATAAAAATTTCTTATTTATACACTATCAATTTAAACAGTCATTCTTCTTTTCTTGATGGGAACAAAAAACACATACAAACCTCAATTATAATTTAATGGTCATCCAGATAAAAATTTAAGATCAATAAAACCATGCTAAAAAAAATTACAGTGCAATTGCAAATCTTGATTGTATAAGTTTTGACCAAATTCAATCATACATGCAAATTAACAATTAAAAATAAATATGATAAAGGATCAAGTGAAGAAATCGTTGTAGTGTTAATTTAGGTCTCTCACCAATATAAGGAGATGATTTTCTTGGAATTTTGTAGTAGCTACTTGCACAACACAAGAAAATTTGACATCCAACAAGCACAAGGAATCAAAATAAGTCAAACTGAGATCATACAACCCATTCCCATAGGGATCAGCATATGTATGTTTGGAACTACCAACCAAAATTTATTTTGAAAATACTAACATAACATTAACTAAAGCAACAACAAAACTCAGAATGTTGATTTGCATCAATTTATAAAGCCAATCATATATCGTTGGGATGTGGCTAATGATGATGTTAGCGATTATTTCTCCATTAAAGTAAATGATTGTGATTCTAGATACTCTGAATAGGATTTTTCATTTTCTTAGCATCCATGAAATACTAGATTAAACTGCATGACAATTATCAAAAATATAGTTGTAAAAATTCCGGAATGTCTTCTTAAAACTTACTCGGATTCACATTTGTAATTATAGCAGTTCCCCCAAAGTCGCAACTTGTTTGTATAGGGTTCTTCTGGTAGTAGCTGTTGAAGGCATAGGATGCATGGTCTCTAACTGTATCTGGGTTATAGCAATTTGCGCCAGGCTGAATCTCTGAACAATCCGCTCCGCCATAACCACATGCATAATCCAGAGCCACTTGCAGTGCTGTCTGTGAAGCTGTCTGGCTCGCAATGCACCAGCTCTGACCTGTTGATAACATTGGTGTCCCCATTCCTGGTGCTGTGTAAGGATTGGCTGTGGGAATTGGATTGAATGTTGGCATGGTTCCTGCTGCTGCTGGATTTGATGGATCGAATGCAGGTACTCCTGTTATAGGAGTGGTGGCATCCATTTTAGGCTTGGAGTGGAGGGGTTCCATCTCTGTTTCGTGGGCGAGTTTGCTTGTGGGCAACCTAGAATTTCCCTCCCTAAATATACCAGCTGCTGTATTTGTTAATCCTGTCAATGTTCTGGCAGAATTAGTCAAAGTGCTTTTGGAATCTTCTTGTTCTTTGGATAAGGTTCCTGCCAAATTCACGAGATCACTAATGAGAAAATCTTAGAATTTAGTTTTGGCATTTAGAATGTGTGTGATATTGAAGATCACTTCCAACGGAACTGAATAATTCTGAGCCTAAATGCATGGAAGTTTGATTCTTAGGGACTTAAAACTGACCAGATAATAGGAAACCTGTGATGAAGATGAGGCACTTGACATCTATGAGACCCATCCGCCCCTTAAACTTTCTCACTGGTCCCCTTCTTCTCTTCTCTTACCCCCACCCCGCTCCAAATATTTGTCTTTAAATGCTGTGGGGCTTCTGTTGCTGCTAAAACATATATGAGAACTAAAAGACATGATTTGCTCCACTTTTGCGTTTATATAACTCTGAAGCATCAGAGCTTCCTTCCAAAGGAGGAGAAAAAAAAAGTGGAAACTTGGGAAGTGAGGTTGGTACCTTTGAAGTGCACGCAAGGGTGAGATGTAAACGTCTAAAGTAAAATTTGGAAAATAAAGAGAGGAATTGTTTAAGTGAGAGTTGGGCACGAATGATGGCTTTAAATTCTAATGATGATGATTGGGTTTAAAGATGGATAAATTATTTGTAGTGTAGTTCATGATTTGTTTGTTCGCTCATTCTGTATTGTTAGTCGTTGCTCAAGGGTGCGTTTATCCTGAAATGCGGCCCGTTAGATTCAACCCGCGGTCTGCGTTTAGTGTAAAAATCCAACCGCGTTTTTGGATAAGCTGTCAAAACATGTTTTCCAAACGGTGAGGCGGCTTTTTCAGTTTCTGCTGATAATTACAGCACCAGGCGTAAAACACCGAGCAATACTGAGTACATGTATTATTTGGATGGTGCAGTTTTTACTGATTCTGTAATTTTAGCCTTTATTGTTCATTGTTTTGTATTGATGCTAAAATGCAGATAACATAAAATACAGCAATTTGAATTAAAAAAACACGCTGATGATGCGTTAGAAAACTTTGAGCTTGCATCACCAAATATTTTGTAGCAGGAGATGAATAGTTTTAGAAACTGGCTAGCTTTATTTTCTTCCATTTCTATCACCGGTTTTATGGAACTAGGTATCGCAAGGAAAAGAAAGGATGATACCGCAACAGCCACCATCTTTATTTACCCATAGATGGTTGTGGGGCTGATTAATGTTTTAGGACTTGATTTTCAGCATGGTATTGAGCGACCAAACACTTTGGGTGTATGGTTTGGGATTTAGCTATAATGTTTGACATATATGAAGTGCATGGTTTCAGCTCATGAATTTAATCCATTTATTTGCATATTTTAAAGTTTGTTATTTTTTATGATTTTGTGATTAATTATATATATATATATATATATATATATAACCAAAGAAAAAGGAAATTGTTAAAATTATAGGTTTTCAATGTTATTGTAAGATAAGCCTGTTCTATCACCATGAATAGGTAAATTAAATTTTGCATTAGATTTAATGCCACTTTAATGAGCACTAGATATGGCCAAAAAATTCGCTGGTCTGTTTGCTTCTCGAAAGATATGATTCCAAGTAATATTAAAGTAATGTGCCCAAAGAATCGAATTTTGCCAATTGCATAAAGTGCCATTGTAGCAACTAAGTACAAAGGGCGAATTCATTCCCACAATCAAATTCCAAAATTTCATCTTCTATGCAACAAGTAAACAATAAAGAACCGCTGTCCTTTCGTAATAAGAGAGATGAATGCATTCACAAGGAGCAAAAAATATACGCAAGACTCGTCTAATGTGGTAAGGGAAGACTCACTTAACACCTGCAATTTTAGTATTAAAACTGTTGAAAGATGTAATTCAAAATTTAAAATTCAAATTACAATATTTATTGTCTTTCCTTTTCTAAAGATATTATTCTCCTTCCTTATTTTTAACTTGCTTAATTAGTCTTGGAATGTAATAGAAATTTCTTTGAATTTATTTAGTTAGTTTCTTATTTAAGGAGGAGAGACTCCTATATGTAAATGCACATTGAATTGAATCATCAAGAAGAAATAAAATTTTCTCTTCAATTTCTGGTTTTATGGTATCAGAGCGGGAGATAAAATTTTGAAAAAAAAAATCATAGTCTTCGTCCCTGCACAGCCATTGCTCGCTTCCGCAAGCCGCGATCCTTCTACCGCGAGTCGCGATCCCGTCGAACCTTCGGCCTATCTCCGATTCCTACTTCCTGAGCCACAGAGACTTCTTCTGCCACTTGCAAAGCCGAACCATCTCTTCTTTTTTATCATGTCTTCAATCCATGAGGCTTTCTCAGAAGTT